CACATACCACAATATGGTAATTATCAAATATACACAGGGTAGTATATATATATATATTAAGCATAATTATTTTAGTAATGAATGGTTTTAAGAACAGACAATTTAATAATACGATGAGTTATTGATTGTTATATTGCAAAGGATTGAATAATTGATTAGTAGTTATAGCTATATAAAAAGGTTACATAAATAAACATAGATTTTAAAGGGTAATCGATTAAAATATGGATAATGACGCAAAAACTAAATTAGGTATACTTGAAACACGTTACTTATTATATCCATAAAGTTAATCACGATATAATTGAGAGCGGGTTTACCTCTTTCAGTCTTATATATATATATTTAACTGTTGTAAATGCCTACTATTTATAATTTGGATTTTACAATTATAACCTGAATAGTCTAATATAAAAAGTAATAATTATATAAGAAGATAGAAAATATGTAACTTCATCTTCAATATTAATTCTGAAAAGTAGATAACAGAAATGAAGTTGTAGTTTAACATATTAGTTATATGTACATATTTAATATATATAATATTATATATAGCTATATATATATATATATATATATATTATATATAATATATATCATATATATTATATATATATATACATCGATTTTATGTATGATGTATTTTTATGTATATATAACACAATACATTTGTTATACATATATATATGAAATTAATAATAATATTAATATAGTAATTACACATATATATTATTAATTACATATATTATATATACCCATATATTAAATATAGTTTTTTTTTAATATATATATTATAATTAAATAGCATTAGGTATTTTGTATTATTTGTATATATTCTAATGTATATATATATAGTATTTATATATATAATATATTAATATATGTTGTTATTAGAAATATATATACCCGTTAATATATAATATAATTATTAATATGTATATTAAATATGTATATATATATGATATCTATGCATACATTAATATATATATATATATATAATTATTAATTATTATATATATATATATATAATATATATGTACGTATGTATGTATTAAATATATCACATACATCTATAATACGTATATATATTATATATATTATATTTATATATATATATATATATATCAATATATATATATTATATATATATATATATATAAATATATTATATTATATATATATTATATAATACTCATATGTAAGTAATTGTAATATTGATATTAGATATATGTATTATTAATTATATGTTGAATATTAATATATATATGTAGTAATATATACTATTACACAACACACACATACACATACACCATTCATACACTACATACACACTAACACACCCATACTACTTACACTAATCACACTCACTACACACATAATATATATATATATCATATATATACATGATGCTACATACAACACACTCACTACACACCATCACTACCACCACATAACACACACATCACACACACACACTCAACAACACACACACACATATATAAATATAAATTAATATTATATGATGTATGTAATGTTGTGTTGACTGCTGTGTTGCTGTGAGTGTGTGGTGTGTGTGTGGTGTGTGCATGTGATCGATTAACATACATATATTTAATTATATTATAATATTATATTATATTATTATATATATATATATATATATGGTTTTAATATATATAATATATATAAATATATAATATATATTGTGTCTCTTATCTTCTCTTATATATGTATTTATACTATATATCTTTCTCTCTAATAATATATAATATATATATATATATAATATATATATATTATATACATATTTATAATACATATATATATATATATATTATTATTATATATATATATATATATATATATATATATTTATATTTTAATTTATATAATACATTACTATATTAATATACATATGCAATTGACGTGTTTGCTTTAAGTTTATACGTTACATATTATATATAAATAACCTGTTAGAATCGGTTAGTTGGTCTGGTTCTTATTTATATACTTTTTATATATATATATATATATATATATATATACTATTTGATGCTATTCTTTATACTTATTATTATATAAGGCCTAATAACGTAGGTAATCCGCTTTTAATTTCTGAATAGTTAATATTATTTTAACATTTCTCCCTTCACCGATTATGAGCAATTTTCTTTTGGGTGAGAATTTTGAGATGAGAGAGTAGAAGACGCATGTAATAGAGTAGAGAGAGTAGAGAGAGAAGAGAGAGAGAGAGAGAGAGAGAGAGATGAGAGAGGAAAGAGAGAGGAGAGAGGATGGAGGATAGAGATTTAGGGAGAAAGAGAAAACGAGAGAGAGAGAAAGAGACAGAAAGAAAGAGAGACAAAAGGAGAAAGAGATTTCACTTCTAAGAACAATTTACCATAGATTATTCTCTCATCTGTCTTTCTTTAATTTATTCTTTAAATTTGATAGTGAACAATATCTACTCATGCATGGATATATGTAAACAATGTGTGGA